TGTTTGTGCCCACAATCTTGACCAATAAAACATCATTTTATTTATTCTGTAACACATAATAGTGAAGCTGTAAAGCTGGTTTAAAAAGAAAAAAGCGGTCTCAAACTGTTGCCTAAACTGAAGCAATATCCTTGACCTTAAATGGCAAGAATGAAGGCATTTTAGTTCTTTTTTTAATCGATAAAGGCTGCCAATTCTTAAACAAACAAAAAAAGGGAAAATAATTAACCAAAAGCAAAATGTTAACACAATCCGGCTTTTAGAAAACAAAATGAGAACTGGTAGTTTGATATTATGCATTGCTAATTCTGTTTTTGTCCCAGGATGACCTTAGTGTTCTTAGCAGCACCCCTATGGCTCAGAGGAAATGCCTTATGTCAGGACATCACAGTACGACTGAGCTCTCCAGCACTTTACCGGAAATTGCTGAAAATGAAACGGTGAGACAAGTAGGGTTTTATCTTTGTTTTTAAATCCACAACTCTTGATCTCATCCAAATCTTTGCAGATAATCTCAGAGACTTCACATGTAAGTAACAGTGTTTGCTATTCTGAGATCCAAGTGAATCAAGTTGACACCAGTGAACCTCGCCACCCTGCAGCTTGGCCTACGGTGAGCTTGTTGGCATTATTACTGTTAATGGTTAAATAAAACTAATGTGTTCCGTGCAACTGATAGGATAAGACACCCAGGCGTAAGGTCACTAGTCAGAGAGCCTGCCTGACCTGGTGCTCAGAGGATATGAACAGTCTCATAGAGGATACGGACAAAGCTTCCACCCCCAAGAAAAGGAAACTGTTCAGGATGCACATCCCGGAGGAAATAACTGCACAGATTAAAAATGAAAGCAGGGAAGGTCGGTATAACAAACCTTAATGGCCTCTGAAAACACATCTATGTCCCCAGAAACTGTGTTCACGCCGGCCGTGATTAGTTTCAGCACGTCCATCAAAGCGTTGGAGCCACGCCATGTGTTTGAGTGACCCAGATACGGCTGTCCTCATCGGAGGAGAAACATCGGATCAGAACTACTGCAAGGACTCCTTGTGGAAGTTTGAGTTGGGTCAGTGACAACCACCAGAGGAATGAATAAATAAAAGCAAATGTAATGATATAAACCTTAGTCAATTAAATAACATGCTGCTGTTATTTTGCGCACCTCTGATGTTGCTATTTTCAAATATTAATTACTGCAAAAATGTCCATAGCTGTATATTGGTTATTTATTCTCCAGATGCACAGTTTTTATATTGTTAAAACTCTTTACAGTACAGTATTTTATTTTTTATCTTTAACTCTTCACTATCATGTTATTCTTATACATTTTTCTAAGGTTCACATTTGTGTGACCATTTCTTTCTATAATCTTTTTGCCTCTGTAAACAACAGAATTTCCCCATTGTGGGGAAATAAAGTGATTTTCTATTCTATAAAAGGTTTAGAACCATATAAGTAAATCTAAACAATATATGTATAAAAGATATATCTGAAAAACATTTTATTCACAACAAAAAATACTTATGTAAAACATTTTCTGACCACAAAGTCTCAGAAGAACAAAAAATTGTACACGCGTAGCGCTAATCCAGACATTGCTTAAGGCTTTTTTGTCTTGCATTATTTTTACATTTGTTTCAGACAACGATTTCTGGTTCCCAATGAACTCTTCTTCTTCTGGACCCATGCCTCCATGTGCCAGAGGACACACAGCAACCTTTGACCCAGAATCTAAGTCAGTCTTTGTGTACGGTGGCCTGAGGGATGGTCAGCGCTACAGCGAGCTGTACATCCTTAATACAGTGACCTGGAAATGGAGACTTGTCACTGTAGGTTTGTTAGAAGAATTAGTAGTTCTGAAAGGGACTAATTCAGGTGTATTATTCTGTAAAAACATATGAGAAAAGCTAATTTTTCTCCATGATTCCCTTTAAGAGTTGCTGTCATAAAAGTAAACGGATCATTGTGCACTAATTTGTATTTTTTTTTTTTTAAAGCTTGATAGTTTTATACCAAAGGTATTTATTTTCATCTACTTTAAAGTCTTCTATCAAAGGTTTTGTACAGCGTTCAATGTTAAAATGTGTTTAAAGGTCTGTTGGCTTTATGATGTGGTGCTTTTTGTAAATAATTTGAAGCCAAACTGTTTTAAAAACACTCATTTGCATTGTTAAATGTAAAATGATGTTTAATATTTATAATTACAAGGAACTCTGTAATTGCATGCTATGCTTGATTAAGAATTATATAAAAACTTTGGTTGATTCTCAGAATGTTTAACATTGCCAACATTGTTGGTGAGTTCAGTTTAACTTTAATTTAATCAAAATGAATGTCGTCAATGTGTGTGTGTTTTTTTAAGCGTATACTCTAAGTACACCGCTCTGTTTTTTTTGTTGTTTTGTTCATTTCCATCTCAAGGCTAAAGGGGATGTGCCTAATTTGTTGTACCATTCAGCGGTTTTCTACCAGAAGGAGCTTTATGTCTTCGGAGGAGTTCAGCCAAGCCATTCACTGCGAGACAAGTTCTGCAGCAACAGTCTCTACATCTTCAGCCCAGAATATGAGCTCTGGTACCAGCCCATTGTGGAGGGGGACAAGCCTCTTCCTCGCTTTGGGTCAGTCTGCTTTGCAAGATTTAATTGTAAAAAATATTGTAAACATGCTTCACATACATGGGAATACTGAGCACATATTCTTCAGGCACTCAGCTACTCTTCTTGAAAAGAAGCTATTCATTTTTGGAGGACAGAAGACTGTTGCCTACTTGAATGATATTCATATTTTAGATCTGGGTAAGGGGACTGATTTGATGCCTTCTTTAAATATTTTTTTGCCCCAGTTTGCTCTGATGTTTGGATTTTTCTCTTTCGTTAAAGGACTGATGGAGTACACAGCTGTGAAAAATGTCAACATGGCACCGCTGCCTCGGGGGTGAGTACAGAACAAATCAACCTTGATAAATGTCATTGACGAAGCCATCTGGTTCCTGTTTTATTTATTTATTTATTTATTTATATATATATATATATATATATATATATATATATATATATACACTCACACAGTGAGGAAAATAAATATTTGAACATCCTACTATTTTGCACATTGGCACACTTAAAAATAATGGAGGGGTCTGACTTAATCTTAAATAAAAAAAAATAAAAAAAATCATGGTCACGAAGAACCAGCTTCAATCCATCTTCAATGCTCTAACTGAGGTCATTACCCAAGATATCTACAGTACATGGCCCCGGTCATCCTCTCCTTATTTCAGTGCAGTCGCCATGTCCCATGTGCAGAAAAACACTCCCAAGACATGATGGTACCACCCCCATGCTTCACTGCAGGGAATGTTTTCTTGGGATGGCACTCATCATTCTTCTTCCTCCAAACACGGTTAGTGGAATTATGACCAAAAAGTTCTATTTTGGTCTGATCTGACCACTTTCTCCCATGACTCCTCTGGATCATCCAAATGTTCATTGGCAAACTTCAGACGGGCCTTGACATGTGCTGGTTTAATTGGGGAACCTTCCGTGTATTACCAACAGTAACCTTGGAAACGTGGCCCTAGCTCTTTTCAGGTCATTGACCAGCTCCTCCCTTGTAGTTCTGGACTGATTTCTCAGCTTAAGATCATTGAGACCCCACGAGGTGAGATTTTGCATGGAGCCCCAGTCCAAGGGAGATTGACAGTGATGTTTAGCTTCTTTCATTTTTTAATGATTACTCTAACAGAGGACCTTATTTATCTATCTGCTTGGCAATTTCCCCGTAGCCCTTTCCAGCCTTGTGGCGGTGTACAATTTTGTCTCTAGTGTCTTTGGACAGCTCTTTGGTCTTGGCTATGATAGTAGTTGGATTCTTACTGATTGTACAGGGTTGACAGGGGTCTTTATGTAGTTAACAACCTCAAACAAGTGCATCTAAATTAGGAGAATAAATTGAAAGGAGGTGGACATGTTGAAGGGGGACTAACGGGTCTTTGAGGGTCAGAATTCTGGCTGAGAGATGGGTTATTTGCAGCTGTATCATACAAATAAATGGTAAAAAAAAAAAAAAATCATATATTGTGATTTCTGTATTTTGTTTTTTTGATTGCGTCTCTCACAGTGGACATGCACCTACAATGACATTTTCAAACCCCTCCAGGATTTATAAGTCGGAGAACTTACTTGAATATTTTCCCTCACTGTGTATATATATATATATATATATATATATATATATATATATATATATATATATATATATATATATATACACACACACATGTTTTGATCTCTTAAATAATCCAATTAAACCAAGCTGAAAATAAAGTGGCTGGATATGCTGATAAAACCCTCTCCCTTGTAAATCAGATTTCATGCAGCAGTTCCAGTGTCGGATAACAGGATTTTGATCAGTGGAGGTTGCAGTGCAATTGGAGCTCTGCAGGATGTACATGTCTTCAACACAGGTGAGTGTTGGTAAAGTACCAACAATATGCTTTTTTTTTTGTTTTTTTTTTTTTGTTTAAAAACAAAAAAAGCCGATTTGTGATCTCATGTTTTAAAACGAAGATGCTTTGTTTTCCATATTTAGACACCTGTATGTGGAGCTCAGTGGCATGCCCCATGCTTTGCACCAAGCCCCGTGCAGGACACAGCATGATACATTTACAAACGGAGCGGGATGAAAACAGAAATATCAAGTGCACAGTAGTGGTCTTTGGTGGTTCTGACTGCTCTGGTTCCTTCTATGACGACACAATAAAATGTCCAGTGGAAATAACTAGAGACAAATGATCCAAAAAAATTATGTGAAAGAAAAAGTGAACTTTTGTTTGCTTTGTACTGGTTGTAAATTAAAGTGTTAGTATAAACTGTTCACCAGTAATAAGATGTATGCACTTAGGTGCTCTACTTTGAATAACAAATGTACAATTTGCATGTTTTATAGATTTTTTATTCCATGTTGTGTATTTTGGAAAAACTGATTTTCTACAAATTAATGACAGAATGTTTTGAAAGTTTCACTGCTATTTAATGGGTTCAATAAAACATTTTTTTTAAAGCAGTATTACACAGTACATGTGCCACACTGACATTTCATGCTCGAAGATCTGCAGGTGTGTCCGGCTGGCGAGATGGATGGCTCAGTTTGAAAGCTTCAACCTCGAGCAAAGTCTCATTTAACCTTTTGATGGTTGGATACTGGCTTACATCCACTTTAAACCTTTAAGGAAAAAAGATTGTTAAATTAGCAGTTCAGCAGATCAATTCTGAAAGGATTTCATAAGGGGTTCAATGAAAAGCACCAACACCAACTACTGCATAAACATGGAAGTTTTTTGGAAAATGGCTCATGCTGTGTTCAACCACATGGGGAGTATCTGGGAAAAGCAGTTTTCAAAGCTTGTGCTCACAGTCGTGTAGGCAGAGAAGTTAAATTAAGATCTTTTGGGACCAGAGCACCTTTCTCTATATTTCTAGTAAATCCCCCATTAGGGTTTCATTGAAATTTGAACATTGCTTTTCTGGGGTGCCTACCTGCGCTTATGGTTGACAGCCATTTCTCTGTAGATTTGCAGTTGGGTAAAAGTTTCCATATCCAGAGGAGTGAACAGTTATCTGAAATGCTCAAAGCTTAAGATGCTCTCTGATAATCTAACTAGTGTTGCACCGATACCAGTATCGGACGGGGCCCCGATACTGCCCTAAAATGGTGGTATCGGCGAGTACCAACAAATAGGGCACCGATACCATTTTGAGAGCCATAAGTTTATTCAACTGTTGTCACCCACTCCTGGTAGGCAATAAAAAGTTCAACTGGATTCACTTTGTATTAGATTTTTTCCTGCTTCACAAAGGTAGGCAGCAGCTTGACAAAGCCATGATGGCAATTATTTTACATTATTATGGTATCGGTATCGGCCGATACTGCACAGCCAGGTGCCAGGTATCGGGTATCGGTATCGTGGCCAAAAAATGGTATCGGCGCAACACTAAATCTAACCCAGGTTTAAATTGGGGAGTGGCGGCCTAGAGGTTAGGGCATTGCACCTGGAATCCTGGAGGTTCCGATTTCAAGCACCACTCTCACAAACTTTCACCCTTGGTCCCTGAGCAAAGACCGTTAACCCCATACTGCTCCCCGGGCACCGCACAATGGCAGCGCACTGCTCCCTAACAGGATGGGTTAAAGGCACAGATTTCATTTTGTTGCTCTGTACTTGTGACATTGTAACGACAAAAACTGAACGGTACCAGAGAAAATCATGTATCAATTTTCTTCCACCTAATGACTATATACTATACATGAAATATCTATTAAATATGTTGAAGTTCGTTTAATGTTGCGTGGCAGAAATTGGAAAAGTTTAAGGGGTAAGAATGCTTCTTGAAGGCCCTTTATCTTGATATCCAAGCCGAACACTTTAAAGGGAAATGCTAAAATACGCACCTCTCTGCATTGTAGACTTGTGGGACCAGACAAATGTCTGCCATGGAAATCTAAAATAAATCACCAAAATGTTAATCCTTGGCTGCATTTTATGGAGTTTACTTACGGTCTAATAGGTGTTTTCTTACCTCATCACCTACACAGTATTTTCCTGATGTTTGCTTCAGAATAGGCTCTAGAGCTGAGAGATTGTAAAGTTCACACAAACCCCAGTGAAAAAAACACACAGTGCATGAGCTTTTCTACTACAGTAAGGATGGATAATGTCTTCCCCTAACCTTGAAAACCACGGTTAATGAAGTGCTGTGCCCATGGTACCTTCTCCGCTCCGATCTTCTGCAGTACGTATAAGTTCTGAAATTAAACTGAAATTACTTAATTTTTTTAGGACGGTCAAAGTAGAAATATATTTTGGTTTTATAGCTACCTGCACAGGCTGTATCCCAGAGGCAATGAGGTCACTTATCATCCGAACGTGGGCGCGTGCCTTTGGGTCTGCAGGAAGAAGACGGGGTCCCGGTCTGGTCTCGTCAATGTACTGAATCACAGCAAGCTAGAAGAGCAAAACAAGCATGTTGAAGGATTGCTCATGATGATGCCACCTTAGTTCATTTGAAACATGCCATGCTAGACTTCTCACAGGTTATTTTCATTTTTTTTTTTACTTTTAGGAATCAGCCCTGACCATAGAACCAGAGCTACAATAAACTCTTTAAATTAAAACATATTTATGACTAAGACGTCCAAATAAATTTAAAAAATAAGTGTGACAAGTCTTAAAAACTGATCTTCAGATTAAGGCATTTTTTTTTTAGATATTTCTCTTAAAATGTGTAGAGTTGTGTAGAGACATGTAGGTCCCCAAAACACTTGAATCTGTAAATGCAGTTAAATACGAGTCTGCAAAGCCATACATATCAACACTTGTAGATGAAAGTCTAAACGCAAACTTTGTTGTTCCTCCTCAAAGTATTGCTCGTTTAGTGATGCTCTATGACATAAAATCCCCCCCCAAAATACACAGACATTTGTATGTCAAAACTGAAAAAAAATCTTCCAGCGGTGTGAAGACATTTGTAGGGCACTGTATGTGCTCATGATCTGGGATGAATAAACTCAAACTTACTGACTGAGACAGAGTAATGCCATCAACTTCCACTGCAGGAACTTGTTGCATGGGGTTTAATGTTTTGTATTGCTCTGTAAGCTGAGGTGGACAGAGACATGCAATCAGATTTAGTCATTCATTAAAATCAGGTTGGCTAAACATTTTTGCAAAATATTTTCTAATTTAAAAAGCTGAAAAAAATGAATAAATACAAGAAACATTTTCCCAGCAAAAAAGCATGTGCTTACATATTTAAATGCATTACTATACATTTAGTGTAAAGTTTCAGTATGTTTCACTTACAGATCTGTATCTCTAAATAATGTGCTGTATTTTTCATACAGTATGTTAATGTTCTAAAGTGCCTCTCTAGGAACTGTGATAGCAAGGAAGAAAGTGAATGTAAAGACAGCTGAACCACATTTGTTTTGTGTTTCTGATAAATATAATATTTTATGTATTTTGTTAAATCCAATACCTTTAGAAGTAAAATGGGCCCATGGCATGACAAATTCTCCACCATGTAAAATAATAGGCATATAATAGTTCACCACAAGTTTGTTTCCAAACAATATAAGATTTTTTTTTTTTTATTTTGTTCTGGGTTTTGGGAGATTTTTCCACTCATCTTTGCCAAGAACCCCTTATGTTTGTGTGATATCAAACACCTATGGTGTGATTGTTCAGAAATGTTACAAGGGCATTGTTCCCATAATTGCTTCAAAACGATGACCCCATTAAGATTTCCAAGGAGTCCTGCTCTTCACTTCTTGTGAAAAATAACATTTCTGAACACAAAAAAAAATTGTATTTGTTATTTAAACCTCAGATTTAAAAAAGCAAACATCTCTGGGACCTTTAGGAGTGCATACACCCTCTTCAGTCTTATGGGCCGTAACCAGGATTTTGGAATTACCAAGGTCAATCAAATATTGTGATAAATCTTACTTGACAAAAACACATCATAATATGGTGACTTTAAAGCTCATCAAGGAGGTAAATATGAACATGTTTATTATAAAAAAAAATCCAAAACTCGCAAAATTAGAGTATTTTAGTGAGTGAGAGTTATTATTATTATAATCATCATTATACTATATTATTATTGTTGTTGTTGTTATTATTGAATTATTATTAATACTACTATTATTGTCACCATCATCACTATGCATGTGCATGGCCCACGAAATGAATCAAATGACTTGCAATAATATTGGGGACTTTTATTTTTTTCCTAACCAATGAGAATGCATGCTGATCTTTACACCAATCGAAGTCAGAACAATTTTCATCATATAGTTTGACATTTCTCTGAGTTAAAAAAAATAAATAAATTAAAAAAAAGGGGAAAATACCAAGGACATGACCTCTGTGTTCTCAATGCTGGTTACGGGGCTGCTTATGGCCCCTAACAATGAGTGGACATTTAGACTGCTCATCTGATAGTTTTCAGATTTTGGGACCCAATATATTTAATAGGTACATGGAAAATTGTAGCCTAGTAAACTAGCCCCACCCACCAATCTTTCATTTAGTCCGGTTTATCAGGCTAGGAAAACTGTAGATTACTAAACTGAAAATTCTAGACACTCATAAGAACTTAAAGTAAAAACAAACCCAAAAGCTCATTAATTTCATTAAATTTAGAGGTCAAAAAACCAACACAAAAAAAAACTGATAAAAATAACTAACAATATGCTAAAAAAATATGCTTATTGCAGGAATAAAAAGATGTGTACAGTAGTTCTTTCAATAAATTGAATTATGGAATAAAATCAAATTGGATTTGTTTGTTTTTTGCTATCACAAATGAACAGGAAATGTTAATACTGTACCTGCTGACCTCCATCTTTGATTAGGTTGACTGCAACCTGGTCATATTCAATACCCTTAAGAGCAAAAGCTGTTCAGAAAAAAAAAGTTCAAAGTTATTTTGTTAACGTCCATAATCTGTAAAAGAAATAAGCAGAGTACTGAAGTACGGCTCACCAATCCGGACCCTCCAGGAGCAGGAGCTTCTGAAGTATCCATGAAGTATAGGCTAAAAGAAAACAAAAAAGAAATATAGAAGGTTGAGAAAATATAGCAAAACAAATAATTCTTCCTCCATGCATTTTAGGTTTTCTTGCTTCACCTTGTTTTTGTTTGCCATAGCTCTATAGATCTAGCGGATATCTCTTTGGAAGACTAAAGAAAGTTTTGCATGTATTCTTTTTTTCCTCTGCAAATTCCCATCCTCCTCTATCAGCCAATAGGATGTGTCCCTGAATTCCCTCCTCCTTATACTTTGGTCCATGACTGTGCAACATCTGTTTCATATTAAACACATAGTCTCACACTCACAGCTTGCAGAAACAGATATTACAGTACCTTAACAAGGCAAACTAACGTCAAGCGCATCCTTGCTGTTGCTTCTAAGACGTTCGTAACATCAAATTAGATATGTGGGTTATAGTCTTGCCTTTATGAATCTATGAATTCGCCTTAAACTTATGAAATGAAAAAATAAAAGCAGAGAAAAAAAACCCTAAAAGTTGATACAAAGATTTTAGAAAAGTTCTGGTATGAACTGTGCTGCAGGTTACACAATAGCTCTAGTTAAACAAACAGCATGGTAGAGCAGCAACGTCATAGATATAGAAAAATAGATGTTGCATCAGCGTCGGTGTTGTGCGTAAACTTGGCCGCCATATTGTGAACGCAGTTTGTGGTGTTTAATCTTTCCTATAAAAAACATTCCTGTTGGACCCAGTACGAAGCTACAAGAGAAATAAATAAAGAAAAATAGTTTTAACAATAAAAATATATTATTATGTGTTATTTGTTCATTCTTGCAACAAACCACACAATAACAGTAGCTTCTTCATAAAACCCCCAAATTGAAAGAGGCTTTCTGTACCATAGCATCTCTTAGAGGGATTAGGACCATATAATAGAATCTAAAATAAAGCTATTTAATCCACTAGTTTAGATTGCTCACATTGCAATTGTTTAGGAGGAAAAGGCAGTACCAGCATATATGCATTAATCATCAATGCATAAAACACACATTCCTATTATTACTATTAGTAGATGCAGTAATAGTAGTCATTTCTTCTGCACCACATACATTAATATCTTAAAAAAAAAAAAAAAAGAAATTCAAATCGTTTTGATAATATTATAATATTTTACAGCAAAACTCCTGTATATTATATACACATGAGAATAAAAAAATATTTGTATTTCATTTTGTTTATTGACCAAGTCATCACAGTCTTCACCTTTTTTCCAGAACAAGATCACATTTAGTTTTAATTTCCAGATATTTTGTCACTTTGTCCAAATAACCTTCAGTTTTAATACCGATAAGAACATATAAAGTTAGAAACAAAAAAAAAATTATCAGGATTTGTAAAATATAAGCTTTATAAGTTAAGAAAACTCTGCTTTGAAGCGTTTTGAGTAACCCTGGCGAACTTGCCACTCACAAAAAGGCGGCCACGCTGACGTACAATGCCTAGTGGCTTACTAATGTTCCAACACACTATCTATTTTTCTATTTCTATGGTCTCCATTGACGAATTTCTTTTTTATCCAATAGTTATACGACTTTTCTAACTAAAGCGGAAATTTGCTTCACGTAGAACACTGATTGGATAGACTGTCCAGCAAGGAGACCAATCATACACGATTATTTGTGGGCGTGAGTAAATCTGGACCAATAGCGAGCCTTTCTTTTACTCAGATCCCACCTCCGGGTAATCTATGTCCGTAAGGGAGGTTTCTGGTGTTCTTGGACCATTTTACCACCTGCAGAATCTGTGAGATCAGGTCGTTCTGGGTCCTAAGCATTTCATCATGGCGGCATTAGCATTAAGATCGGCTCTAAGAAGCAAGGTGAGCTTTAAAGCTAAAGCTTTTATATCTGTTAAAACCGAAGCAGGCATTCCAACTGTCATTGTTTACAAAGTTAGTGTCATTGGAGCAGCATGTGTGCACTGCAGACTGAGTCAATAAAGATGGGTTCAACTTTGCATGTTTCTTATAGATGTATAAATAATCTCTCAGACTGTAGGCTTGTTTAAAATGCACAGCTTCACTTGGGTTGATGCTTCTTGTCATGCTTTTATTCTTTCAACCTGCTCCACTCAGTTTGACTTTGTCCCCTTCCCAGCACCATGCATGTTTTAGTTGCTTATTAATCATGTGCTCCTACAAGCCACAACAGGAGCTAACCGGTTATATGCGAATCATCTTAAATATGCAAATGAAGCTTGCCTTTATAGGTTTTTAACATACCATGAAAAACACTATATATTCATTTTTCAACAGGTCCATCCTAAAGCTGGCCGTTTGTGCTACTCCTCCTCCTCAGCGGTCAGTGGAAAAAACAGCTTTTCTTGTATCTCATTCATTTTGATTCCTTAAATTTTGCATTGTCAGTAACAATTGGTGTTTTTATTTTCCTTACAGCCGACTGTAAATCTCTTCATTGATGGCAAATTTGTTGAGTCGAAATCCTCAGAATGGCTTGATATTCACAATCCTGTAAGTATCATACAAGGCCCCAAAAAATTCTACTGGTGTTTGACTAAAAAAATCAGGTCAGTATCAATGTCTGGTTTTCTTTTACGTGCTTGAATTTGATTTTATTTCTCCCCCCCCCCCCAAAAAAAATTATAGCACATATAAGAAAAAAGTGAGCTGTAGAGTAAAGCACCAAGGCTCATTTTTACTCTTGTGTTATGTTAGGAATGCACCCTGGATTGGTGCATTTATAAACAGAAAATGGGAGGCCTTAGTTTCAGTTCCAAGGAGATTTTCTGCTGCAGATTAACAACCATGGCTTATTTAAGGCGGTCATTAAACAATTTGCTGATTGATTTCTTGCAGGCTACTAATGAAGTGATTGCCCGTGTTCCCAAAGCCACCCAAGAAGAGATGTTGGCTGCTGTAGACTCTTGCTCCAGAGCCTTTCACACGTGGTCTGAGACCTCAGTTTTGTCACGGCAGCAAATCTTCCTGCGCTATCAGCAGCTTATTAAGGACAACATTGTGAGTAAAGTTGTAAAGTGTGATATGCCAGATGACATAAACTGTAGAGCTGAACTCCTGGTTCCTTTTCAGAAAGAGCTGGCCAAGTCGATCACATTGGAGCAGGGCAAAACCCTAGCTGATGCAGAAGGAGACGTATTCAGAGGATTGCGTAAGTTTCTCTTCATACAACGATTTCCCTTGAAGTTAGACATTGACATTTCCATGATTTTTTTTTTTCACTTTTCAGCCAAAATAATGGCTTGCATCATGTCTTACCTGCTTTATTTTTTGCAGAGGTCGTAGAGCACACCTGCAGCATCACATCTCTGATGCTGGGAGAAACCCTACCCTCCATCACCAAGGATATGGATACCTACACCTACCGCCTTCCCATCGGCGTGTGCGCTGGCATCGCCCCCTTTAACTTCCCCGCTATGATCCCCCTGTGGATGTTCCCCATGGGCATGGTGTGCGGCAACACCTACCTGCTGAAGCCGTCGGAGCGTGTGCCGACCTGCACCATGCTGCTAGCTAAGATGCTGCAGGACGCCGGTGCTCCAGATGGGACGCTGAACATCATACATGGACAGCATGCTGGTGAGAGCTGATGTAGCTTGAATGAAAATTGCTAATAACAGTAAGTTTGATTTCTTTCTATCCTTTTTGCATGTTCTTTTTCTAACTGTTGAATCGTGAACAGTGACCTTAACTGATGTATTTTAGGCCCAAAACGTCTTCAGATTATGTTCTGGTTCCTTTGTTACCTCCAGGGTGAGTTGTTAAGCAATGAATAGAAATAGCAGAATAAGCAAAGTGAAAAGTACATTCCTTTTACACACGGAAATGGGAAAAACGGCAAGTATGTGAGCAATGACATTATTGGGAGTGTTGATGATTGTTAAGTCTAATAGCGGCTGGAAGGATCTGTGATAATGCTCTTTTGTGCACATATGATAACTCAAACTGTCCAGTTCTGCAACAACTTCATGCATGAAATGGGAGACATAGTCCAACAGTTTTGTTTTTGCCCGGGTCCTTTTATCTCTGACAGGCTGCTCTGAATTGTTGGGACATTTTAGGTCAGAGTGTTTCTGATAAGCTTACCCAAACTGTTTCCTCTAAGCAGTAGATAAGCTGCTGTTCCAGTAAACCTCAACAAGAAAAGACGGCTGATGCTGCCATATAGCTAAAAAAGAGTTGTAAGGAGCCTTAGTTAAAGGTGTAGTAGTGGAGGATTATCACAAATTTTTTAAAAGATCCCACCCTCTCCACTAAAAAAAAAAAATGTACATGCAGAACCCTGTACCCGCTCCTGAGAGGGAAAGCCTATTAAACGTGTGTGAGAGCGTGCACAAGCCCATTTCTCCTCATGTACGCTCTGGTTAAAAGTTGCTCTTTGCATCGCTCATACAAGCTTACTTTCTAGAAGAAGATTTGCAATTCTTCCACGTAGACATAGATAGATTTTAGACATAGATATATCACCAGAATGATTGACAATCACTTATTTTGATGATTCACCCAAAACATCCTCCACTATACATTTAAGTAATTATGGTAAGTGATTATAGTTATCTGACGGTTTCTGTGAAGTTAATCACTTTTCCCTATTTTCTCCATTTGTGAATTATGGTTCTTGTATTGGTTACGGAAGTCCGAGATCATAAAAAGGTTTCAGCAATACTTTTGAGGTAAATTTATGTCAAATTCTTTGTTTATTACCCGTTAGATTGGGTATTCTGTGTCAGAAATGTTCTTTATTGGGATTTCTTTAAAATTCTGCAGCTCAGGCAGCTTTTAGCCCTTAGTCCGGTTGATACAATTTAACCAAAGCTTAGTTAAATACCATTATTTCATTATTTGTCAGAGGGAAAGGTGGAAGTGTATTTTTACACATGGCAGCAGAACAATTTAATTTGATAAAAAAGACCAAAAAAACTGAAGAAATCTGTTGTAAAGATACAATTTTTGCTCATTGCTAATGTGACTAATGCCTGAAAATCTCTCTTCCTCAGCTGTGAACTTCATCTGCGACCATCCAGCCATCAAGGCCATCAGTTTCGTGGGCTCCAACCAGGCTGGGGAGTATATTTATGAAAGAGGCTCTAAAAATGGCAAGAGGGTCCAATCCAACATGGTGAGTTCCATAAACAAAGTGACCAGACATGCAGAAAATGCCCAGTAGGTGGCAGCAGCGCTCAACAGATTCTCAAATGTTTTTACTCACTGGTCATATTACAATGACTTTTAAATGTACTGATGAGTGCAGAGAGCAGATTACAGCTCTGCCACACTGTGGAAACAGGCTATTTTTATTTGCACCAATCGTTCTAGGAATGAACCTAAATTTGAAGCATATGTACTATAATGATTTACCCACAGTTTGTTTAAAATAATAATCCTATTTGTCACAAACAGGCTTCTGTAAAGTGGAGATCAAACAGCTAAGGGTTAACCACTTCTTGTGTACTGCAGGGAGCCAAGAACCATGGTGTGGTGATGCCTGATGCCAACAAGGAGAACACTCTGAACCAGCTTGTGGGAGCGGCGTTTGGGGCGGCGGGGCAGCGCTGCAT